TCTGCCCGGGAGGGGGGGGGGGGGGGGGTTAAGAAGTGTTAGTCTGTTACATTACTTGGCCTCTAAACTACCACCAGCTCAAAACGAATTGGAGCCACATATAACCAGATCCAAAAAGTTCCTTGTAAATTCAAAAGAAAAGAAACACGGAACAAGGAAAAAAAATCTTCTGCTCCCTTTATTGCAACTTTAAATTCCATATTCAGTTCTGACATAGTTATAACTTTTCGGAGCTTTCTAGGTTGTACTAAGATATCAATGTCAACTTCTTGTGCCACTGTCAGAACTGAATGCTTGAACTCAGTTGGTAATAGGTTAGCTGTGCCTGCAAGAATTAATCATTTCAGTAAGTTTCCAATTCAACCCTGCATTACTTCCATTAGTTTATTCACTTTTTTGACAAATTAAAGAGACTTTTTTTTGTGTGTGAAGGGGGCAAATGTGAATTGAATAGAAGGAATTTTGCTTTGAATGGAATTGTTGCTGCTGGAGCTTCAGTTATGACCCCTTCTGTAGTTGCTGAACCATCTAAAGGTTAAGTCCATTACCCCATTTGTAACTTGGAATTTTCTGCATATCTGTGCCTGTGTGAGTTTAGTTTTAAATTACTTGACAAATGAATGATATTATAGGTCTGGATAAACTACCATTTAAGCCAGAGGGGTACAACTATTGGACGTGGCGCGGCCACAAAATTCATTATGTTGTGGAAGGAGAAGGGTTCCCAGTAGTTCTGATTCATGGATTTGGTGCTTCAGCTTTTCACTGGAGGTAACTGGATCGATGTGTCTGCATATGGCCATTTTCCATAGATTTAGTGGTGTTGGATTGAGGTCAATTACATGTAGTAATAGCTTAGTTGGGCATAAAATTGTAATGTTGCTGCTAAAACTAAGAACTATATAGCTGTTGAGTCAAGCTATTGGTGCATTCTTTCTTAGAAGGAACCTACTGTTAACATTTGTATTCTAACCATATCGTAAAAATATCATCATTGTTGCTGTCCGAAAGGGATTTTGTAAATGTTCCAGATGTTAATTGTAGTTATGGAATTGCATTCTTTATATGTTGCACATACTTCTTCTTCAATAATATTGATAAGTGCTTTGAGGACACATACAATAAAGTTGTGATTTCTTTTGCGACTTGAATCTTTCTTTGCATAGTACTTTCTTTAAGCTCCTGAAGTGTCTCTGTTGTTTTCTTAGGTATAACATACCAGAACTGGCTAAAAAATACAAGGTTTATGCTGTGGATTTGATAGGATTTGGCTGGAGCGAGAAGGCGCTAATAGACTATGATGCCTTGGTTTGGAGAGATCAGATTGTCGACTTCTTGAAGGAGATCGTGAAAGAACCAGCAGTTTTAGTGGGGAACAGGTGAGCTTGTGCATTTAGCAACTCGTCATTTTAGTGAATTTTCTTGATGTTGGACATCCTGGTCTTGCCTTTGATCATCTACAGACTTTCTTATTGCATTTAAAAAAAAAAGAATTTAGGAAATATAGGTTTTAAGTTAGTTGAGTTGATCACTGTTAATTTTTAGTTAGGAATAAGGATGGATTCATCACTGACACTTAAATTTCTCATACAGTGGCTACAAAATTATGGTAGCGGTGAACTTTCTCTAACATCAATGTGTTAGTTTTCTGTTTGTAGGCTGTTATTATGAGCTCAAACATATCTGTATGTGTTTGTGGTGATGCAAGAAATATCTCAGTAGAGTGCTTCACATTTGAAGCTTTTGAAATCATTGAATCTTGTAGGTTAATCTAGTAAATTTCGTTAAGTATGATTGGTGGCTTCTTATCTTTGAAAAACAGCTGCCTTTGGAGATTTCTCAATGATCATATCCTTAATACTTTTTCCTGATCTGGTAAACCCCAGTCCCCAAACCCACCTGCCCAAGGATAAATTAGCAAATCTTTTGATCTGGTAGAGGTGACTATTCCGGATTTTTATTTATCAGGGAAAATAAGTAAAGCAAATAACATCTTATTTTCCAAAATAGTGCAACAATTATTTAGTTTCTTGGAGTTTGAAATTCTTAAATTTCATTTCACTCTTATGTAGCTTGTTGGCACTGTTTAAGTCACATATACTTTGTAGAGATGAAATTGAATTTAATTATGAGTGTGTAATACATTGCTTAACAGTCTTGGAGGATTTACTGCTTTGGTAGCAGCAGCGTCACTCACCGATCAAGTCAAGGGAGTGTCACTACTGAATAGTGCAGGACAGTTTGGGGATGCCAGCAGTGCAGCTAAAGAAACTGAAGAAACTGAAGAAACAGCCTTACAGAAACTTATTCTAAAGCCACTAAAGGAAATCTTTCAACGTGTATTCCTTGGATTCTTATTCTGGCAAGCCAAGCAACCAGCTCGTATTAAATCTGTTCTGAAGAGCGTATGTTCCTTCATAACTAATTCAAGTTTCTATTCTCTTCTACCATGTAAACGGACTTCAAAATAATTGGATTAATTTGCACCTACATATGCATAATGTTTTACCTTTTTTCTTGCACAAATATGTATATAATCTCTGGAATTGAACTGACTGTCAGAATTAGTATTAACTTTCCTTGATTTCATTTTAGATATTGTACACTCTTTAGAAATAGATAAACAAGAAAAAGCTCTCCTGGATATGGTTGTGATCAGTTGATATTTAGGACCACCCAACTCACAACGTTGTTGCAGGATCCACGATCCACCAGTCTGTTCATTCAAATCTTGCTCTCTTGTAGATTAATTTGTCTTTCCCAATTAGTTTATCAACTGTTTTTTCATGAGTCAAATAATTCATTCGTTCACTGAAGTTTCTGGAAATTTGTTCTAAAGTTTTAAAATGCAGAAGTTGTTAGGTTGTAGTACTTTTTTTGTTCTAGAACTCCTACAATTTTTTTTAGAAAGATGAATCTAACCACCGTTAAAACTCATTTTTGGAATTGGTCAAATGGACTCTTTAAAAATGAGAAGTGCAATCAGATTGTGACTGTGATTTGATAGCCTTGATGAGTCCTTCTATCTGAGGCTATTCTTGACATTGTCTCCTTTGTTTTCATACTTTAGAGTGGTTCAACTGTGGCAGAATGATGTCTTGAACCTCAACTGTTTGTTAATGGCATGATGCATCAGAAAGGAGGGCCGCATATCTGCATCTAGTTGCATTTAATTTTTTTATTAAGCGAAAAGCATTCATAATCTTCAGTCACTATTATTAGACAACTCACTTGCTTTATGTGTTTTTAATTGAAGGTCTACAAAGATTCTTCAAACGTGGACGATTATCTCATCGATTCAATCACCAGACCTGCAGATGACCCAAATGCAGGAGAGGTTTATTACCGGTATGAATACAGCTGTCTAGGTTCTGCTTAAATTTAATAGCTGAAATAGCATTCATTTTTATGTACGGAGAAGAAACAGAATTATTTGAAATTCACCCAAATAATTTGGATTACTCGTCTAAAAGTTGTCTTAAGAAGAGAAATCTCCATTTTAATCAAGTTCTTGTCTCTTACATCTCTGGCATATATGACAAGGATTTCCCTCTCAGGACTTAAAACTGAAAAGTCCGAAATGATCAGGAGTTTCTCAGAAAAGTTGCATGAAATGATCAAAGTTCAACTATAGTGAGAAGCCAGAAGCACTTAGCAGTCTATGTAGCAGTGTAGCCAGCCAGTTAGTAAATCATCCTCCTTATCATGACATTTTAGCCTTATAATACTGACTAAAAACTGTATAATTGTTTGTAACCCCATCACTGGTAGACCATAACCAGAAACAGTTTGCTTGCAAAATAAGATTATTTGCTCTAATTTTATGGAAAAGATACCAATGTTGTTTATATCTCTCAAATTTTTGGTTGAATTCCTATTTTCTGGTTTAAGAAGCTTAACCAGTGTCCTCTTCTTTGCAATCTGCAGACTGATGACAAGATTCATGTCAAACCAGAGAAAGTATACACTTGATAGTGTGTTGAGACAACTTTCCTGCCCATTGCTTTTATTATGGGGTGACCTAGACCCTTGGGTTGGTCCTGCCAAGGCCAACCGGATTAAGGAGTTCTATCCGAACACAACCGTCGTTAACCTGCAGGCAGGACATTGTCCCCACGATGAAGTTCCAGAACTAGTGAATAAAGCTCTATTGGATTGGTTGTCAACCACGGTGACACCGGCATCTTCTCTTGAAACAGTATCAGAAGTTTAATCTCATTGCTAGCATACATATGCAATGAGCTACACTGTAAAATAAACTGTATAGTTGTCCAACATACAATCTGATTCATATTATAGGAGATTTTGGTGACATATGAGATAGGTTGATTCGACCTGATAAGTCAGCTTGGTCCAAAGAGGTTCACATCTTCTCTTTATTGTATTTGTTTAATTGCACAGAAAGAAGAAAGTTTGGCATTGAATCTGATGTTGTTTGACTGTTTGTTAAATTTATAAAATAGCTTCTCTGTTTTCTTTTTAATCTACTTACCCAATGAAGAAAGACTTGCAAAATGAAAAAGGGAAAACAACAGGATTTGAACCCACAGGATTAATGTGAATATCTTTTTGTTTCTGAAGGACATAGCATAGAAAGCTGGTTTCTTATAAGACAATGGATTATCTGTCAGAGTAAACTTCTAAAAGTGCATTCGGAAAATTGTTTAAATGGATGATGGCTATGATGGGAACCAAATTGAAGAAGAAACAAATGATATTCTTGTAACAATAGAAAATACAATGGCAGGCAATATAAAGCCAGGCTAAGCAAACTCGTAACTGAACTGAAATATTTCAAGCAAATTAATTTATTTAGGCTCCTCCGAATTCCAATCCATAAACCAAAGCAGATAACGTGGCAATGCTAGGTAATGTCTTCTCATCTGTCTAAGTTTTGATGGACAAAGTTAGCTAACACATGTATTGGTGGGAGGTAGCACGTACTCAGTAGAATAAATAAGGTGCGCACAAGTAGGCTCATATGCCACTGTTACAAAAAGAATGCCAAAGTAACTAGAAGGTGCAGAAATCAGGAATGGCTACTTGTGATAGTCCAGAGCAACTCCATCTGCAAATCAGCCATGGATACTATGAGAAGATGTCCTGAAAAGCCATTATTGTTATTGTAAAAACTGCCTAGTCATTGTATCACCAGTTAGCTTAAGTAGTCATTAGATAAACCTAATTCTATTGAGTTAATAAGGGTGTAAGATGCAACAAATAATTAACAACTTTTTTCAGTTTCTATTTTTCTATCTTTTTGAAAAGAGTTTCATGTCCAAATGCCTCCTAAGAGGACCACATTGATATAGAGGGAGCATCACACAATGGATCTCTCTCATTCACCGAGCTTAAAAAAGTATACAGTTCAATTAGGGGCGGAGCTACAGCCAAGTAACAGTGGTCAACTGAAACCCTTCGGCGAAAAATTAGACTGTGTATATAAGTAAAATATTCTCCGTTATGATATATATGAAATGCACACCCTTTGACACAATTGAGAGTGATAGGGATGGCAATGGGGCGGTGCGGGTGTGGGGCGGGGCGGGTTTGAACGTTAGCGGGTCGGTGCGGGTTTGAGATTTTGGGGTTGCGGGGCGGGGCGGGGCGGGTTCAAATTTTAAATTTTTAAAAAAATGCGGGGCGGGGCGGGGCACGGGTGGGGATTTAATTCAACTGGCATTGAGTTCTGATTCTGTATCGCTTCAGCATCTGAGATGCTGCATCTCCTTCATTCTGCTCCTTGCTTTCGTAAAATATCCATTTGCCTTTGAATTATAGTCAAAATTTTAAGCTATTTAAAATGTAAAAAGAAAATTGGTTCTGTAAGTTTATTTGATGTTGCTTAACCTTAGTTTATGATTGCAGAGGCTTGGATTACATATTTGTCTGCAATGATATGAAATAATCTTTTAAAAAGTAAACCTTCAACTATAATCAATGCTTTTTAATACTTGTGGTTTCATTGCAATTGCAATTATGTATGGCTATTGTAGCCATCAATTCTTATGATAGCTTGTAAAATTCTTTCTGCATCTTATAATATTGTTTTTTGTTTCTGAATACACCTCTTTACTTGGGATTTATGCAATCTGACCTCTACAACATAATGTTATTTTCTTGATCCCATTGGTTCAACTGCTGTTTAGGTCTAAAGTTTTCAGTTTTTCCCCATAATCTATAGAACAACTTTATTATTTTAATATCTTGTGAATTGCTAGCTATAAAAGAAGTATTGATAATTTATTCAGTTGGCATAATTGGTTTACCCATATCAATTTAAGTATGATGTGCAAAATAAAAGAGAATTCACATGGGTAAATATTAAAGAACTAGAAAAGTTCTTTACGAATTCTCTTATGTTGTCTGTTCTCATTAATTAATATACCAACTAAAATTGGGATTGNTAAGAAGGAGGTTGAGTGTATGACTGGGCGTGGTGGACATGGTATTGAGGTGGCTTGACATAATACTAAGGGTCTGGTGATGGAAGTAATGTTGATGTGGATTATATGGGGTTTGGGTGTAGGTTCGGGGATGGGGTCGAGGCTGGGTGTAATGGTGTGGCATCTTATAATATTGTTTTTTGTTTCTGAATACACCTCTTTACTTGGGATTTATGCAATCTGACCTCTACAACATAATGTTATTTTCTTGATCCCATTGGTTCAACTGCTGTTTAGGTCTAAAGTTTTCAGTTTTTCCCCATAATCTATAGAACAACTTTATTATTTTAATATCTTGTGAATTGCTAGCTATAAAAAGAAGGCTAAATTATCTAAAGCTTGTGAAATAAAGAAGCCATATTACAAGTTAACTTTGCGGCTAGATTAATTTTTTTTTAAAAAAAGACAAGCTTTCAATTCAATAATAAAATCACTTTGCCTACTCACATGCGGTGAAAAGAGGAAACAGACAATTATAGCACATAAAAGTATGGCCAATTAGTAATTGCCAAAAACATAAACATGTAAAAAATTTGGCCTATGTAGTAAAAAAATCAGATTTAAGTCTAGCTTACTAAAAAAAAAACGAAATTTACATTAAAAAAAAAAAAACTAGCGGAATGCGGGGCGGGGCGGGAGAACGCGAGTAAAGTGTGAGGCGGGTGAATACGGATTTAAATCCTATGCGGGACGGGACGGAGCGGGTTTAAATTTTGCGGGTTCAGACAGAACCCGTCCCGCACCCGCACCGCCTGCCATTCCTAGAGAGTGATAACTCCTGCGGTAAGGGGCTTCATTTGAAGCCTTGGAACTCAGCGATTCGATTTTTGCTCGTAGCATGTTTTTACCTTTTGTAGTCATTTTTAAGAAAAAAGAAATAAAACAAACAAAGACAAGGCTGACACGTGGATTGCTGGGTTAGATTCTACTAGTAGTACATATTTAATCTCATCCTGCTAAGGAGCGCACGTGATCCCCTTTAAAGCATGTATGTTGTATTTAGACCATCTCCAATGCTACTCTATTTCTTGCACTAAATTTAAATTTAGTGCAAGAAATGGTATTTTTTTGCTCTAATGCAACACTATTTCTTGCACTATTATAGAGCATGAATAGTGTTGCATCAAATTTGGTGCAACACTATTCATCACTCTATATTTGATTTATTAATATTTTATTCAATCTTTTTATTTTTGTAATTTTAATTTATCATATATTGAGTATATAATTAATTTTTATATTAAGATCTTTATAATTTTAATTTTATATCCTATTTTTTGATATATTAATTTTTGTATATATTATATTTATATAAAATTATAAGTTAATTTGATTATTATTATAATTGTATAAAAAGAAATATAACCATTATTTAAAAATAAAAAATGCAAATGTAAGATATCTAATGTTGCTAAAATTGAAAAGTGAAAACTAAAATTTAAAAAAAAAATTAACAATACATAAAATAAAAATACATTATAATTAAAGTACATAAAAGGAGGATACATTAAAATTGAAATTACATTAAAAACATAAAACATAAGTTTAGTAATCCTCTATGTCATTTCCAGGTGCACCAAAATTACCAAAATACTGAGAGAACGGGGTAGAAGATTGTTGTGGTTGTTGAAATTGTTGACTTCTTACCCTCCCCCACTAATTATCAAAAAATGCATGCAATTTGGACGTTTTTGGAAGCTTACTCACTTACCCTCCCCCACAAATAAACACGATTAATTTAAATAACCAAGAAAAAATTATATGGTCTTAAAAAATTTTCTTTCAAGGTTTAAAATTTTCTTTTAAGTATTCTACAGTATAACATTATCTAATATTTTAAAATTTTGAGTTAAATTATTTAAATATTCATATCTACTAAATAAATATTAGATAACTAGAACCATTATTGTCACGCCCCGAGTCTGGGGGCGAGACCGGCACCCGGTGCCTTACCTATCCTTGTGTACCACTTGCGACTAAGAGGCTCTGAATATGTAATGTCATACTCTGGCTATGGGCCACATTACAAGATAATGTGCAAAGCAAAATATAAAACTGAATAGAGACTAACGCTGACTAAATGTCAACATAAAGCTGGGCCGGCAAGGCCGTCATAACCACTATAACTGACAAGCCAACAAAATATACGTACAGGGCCTACAAGCCCAACATACAGCACTAACTAACAAGATGTCTACAAGCCTCTACTGACAGATGTATTGTGATTGGAACAGGGCCCCGACCTACCCATAACCTATCTACATATATACAGAAGATGTACACAAAACTTCTAGACCCGGCAACTCCGAAGGACGAGGAGCTTACCGATAAAGCTGAATTCGGGCAACTCCTACTGAGGAGGTCTACCCGTCTGTCTGTCTGAACCTGCACGCATGAAATGCAGCGCCCCCAGAAAGGGATGTCAGTAAGAAATAATGTACCGAGTATGTAAGATAATATATTGAAAGCTGAAACTGAACTGATGATCTGAACATATGCTTACCTGCTGATACTGACTCAACTTTCTCAATATAGTAAGTAAAATAGTTGTCCGACCCTATAAGGCTCGGTATATATATATATATATATATATATAGACTCTCTGCTCTCTTGACTGGAAGAAGGAAATACTCAATTGAATATTGTACTTACAAGACTAGGGAAAATATATGTAAATTCCGGGACATGAATTTTTCTTTATGCCTCGTTATCAAACTTGTGTAATTACGGGATCATGCAAAATGAAGGAAGAGCTTTGCCTTAACATACCTGGAGTAGGGAAAAATTCATATGATATTCTGGAAAAAGGTTGCACTGTACTTCTTTAGAACCGCAAAATTACTCCATTGCTAAGACTCTAAAAATTCTCGCTGGAATTGGTTGCAAGGAGAATTGCTAACGTTTACTTCTGGTTGTAAGGTCTTGGTATTGAAAATATTAGGAATGAGATTTAGGATCTGATTGTAGTATGATTTTATTTTGAAAGATCTTTGGAATTGAAGT